GGTGAAGGCCTGGGTGGGTGGGTGGGGTGGGGGTCGGGTTGGGGTGGTGGAAGAGGTTTCGGGATCTAGGCTGATGATGATGTGAAGGGGCTCGCTGTGTGGGAAGAATGACGGGGCTTTGTGCATGTGGGTGATGAGATGGTGTGGGCACGTTGAAACATCAACAAGAGCCGCTCACCCATGGGCCCAGGCACGTGCACAGGCACGTGCATGCTCGCGAATAAGTCTGTGTGTACATACACACACGCGCACACACACACACACACACACACACACACACACACACACATACCGTACACACACAAACATGTGTGTGTTGCACGCCGGCAGCGCGCGCCGCCCACCTTGAGCATCTGGATGAATGACACTGTGAGGTACAGGTAAACCGCGTTGCCGCTCCACAGCGTGGCGGCCATGAACAGGCCCACCGGCAGCATGTTGCTGCAGAAGAAACGAAGAGAGATCTGCGCGGCGGATGTTGCAGGTGCCACGCACGCGTCAGGGGTGACCTGAGAGCTGGCCGGTGCAGCAGTCACACGCACGTGGATACAGTTTGTGGCGTCAATGACATCCTGGATGCACAGTTTCTGCCCGCTGGCTGCAAATGCATGACGACCCCGTTGCTGCGCCGCGCCACGCATGGGGCCCCATCAGTGCAAAGCGCCGAACAGGCCCCGCGCGCCCTCACCTGGGTGTTTGCCTCCGCAATCTTAAACACGCGACAGATAAGGAATGACAAGAAACCGCTCGCAACCATGCCCATGCTGCTGACTGTCATGGGGTAACTGCCAGGGGGGGGGGTGTGTGGCAGTGAGGGCATGGGGAGGGTGGGTCCAGGAGAGAGCGATTTATGCGGGGCGCTTGGGGGTGGTGGACGGACAAACTGCTGCCGTTGGGAGCCAGTATGACTGCGGCCCCATGCCTACTGGCAGCCGGGGCACTAGCGGCAGCAGCTGCTGCGGCTGCTGCAACCGCCAGGGCCGCAGTGCCAGCCGCGCCTCTGCCGGGTGCGTCGCAGCCGCGCACGCGTGCACGCCAAACAAAGGCTTGGCGCCGGAAAGTGTGCGCGCGGCATCCCCAGCCCTACTGCTCCCGCTACGTCCCTGCGGCGTCAGCTTTTCAAATCACTGACAGATCTGGAGAGTCCGGCTCCGCACTCACGGAAATTTCAGGTCCTTCAGGATGTGTTTATTCAAAAGGATGAGCAGGCTGCTGAAGAACATCCAGGCGGACGCCACCGCCGCCGCCAGCACCACGCGCGCCGTGCCGTTGCGCACCCCCAGGAGCCTGCCAATCCGTGAGGCCGCGCCCGGGCGCTTGAACGGGCCGGCGGGCGCGGGTGCGTGTGGGTTGAACGGCTGCGCAGGGGCGCCCCGCTGCTGCAGCAGCGGCGACTTGGAGCCGCTTTCCAAATCGTCCTCCCGATCGTCGTCCTTCTGCCCCATGTTGTGTTATAATCTCTGCTGCTCGCGGCGGCGGCACGGGCGGCGGTGCTGCCCCGCGCCTTGCAGCGCGCTCGTGTCAACCTGCCACCGCCGCCGCTGCAGCCCGAGCTGCTGCTGCGCACGGCTGGCACTGGTGGTGGGGCGGCCCCTGAGGCCAGCGTGCTTCTCGATGGATTTCAGGTGACACTCTTTCGACTTTTATGGTTTTAATTCATCAGATAGGGGAGGACGCTGACGAATTCTTTCTCAAGGCGAGTTGCACGGGTGATACGCATGGCATGTCGAATGATGACCTGAAGGAAAATCTATGCTGCGCGAAAGTGGAGGCTGCTGCCGCGTGCAGGACCGAGCCGAGGCTGGGGGCGCCGCCGCTGGAGAGCTGCTGAACGTGCAACACCCCGTCAGCACCCACGCCGCATGGGCTCTGCTAGACTTCTGCACGCGGGCCATTTGGTCATGGCAATGGTTGGACATGCCGATCTCAGCGGTGGCACTAGCCATGTGCGATAGCTCGCAGGGTGCGAGCAAGTCGGTTGTAACCGCTCGCACACCTCCCTTCGGTTCGGCTCATGTCCCTCACCCTGTGTGTGCCTCCACGTTGCTGCAACGGGTCAAACTTTGTGATGATCCAGCTTGATGTTCTTGCACGTCGCTTCCAAAACAACCTTGGCTCACAACTGGTACGGATAGATGCAGGTGCTCGTGCCATGCGACGGCTAGGTAGGGCGCACCTTGCAGCTGCCACAGCAGGGCACATCTGCCCCGTTGGGACTGCTGCTGCTGCTGCTGCTGCTGCTGCTGCTGCTGCTGCTGCTGCTGTGCACTCATGTTCAGAGCAGTAAATCACATTCCCATACGCACACCCATGCCGCGCTGCAACACCGGCCCCCTGCATGCGTTCCTGCGAGTTTTGAACGGCGCCCACACCCCCTGGCCGCCTGGTGCAGACTGTGCGAGTTTTCTTTGGGGTGCAGACGACACGATGGATGATACCAAAAATTCTATAGCGTACAATTTGTTGTCTTGCACTCGCTTCCCTGACACGTTCAGCAGGCGACGCACCTGAAACATGACGACTCAAACGATCTGGCGGGCAGGATGAGCTTTGCGAGCGTGAACGCGGCCAAGGCGTCCAAGGTATGGAGAATATCTTGCCTTTTTATTGGAGAGCACGTCAAGAGGCCCCTCTTGTGGGCGGTGACCTGGATCACCCTCTACAAAACTTTCGCAGGACGCACTCAGGGCACATGGGGAGACGGCAGAGGCACTGGAGGCGCGCCTGGTGTGTTACATACCCATCATATAATGCGAGAGCGCCCGGACGCATGGCAGCGCACGCGTTCGTGTAAAACCTGCGCCGATCGATCCCTGGTGCAGGTGGATGGACGCTCGAGCGGCAGCCGTGTATGGCCAGCGATGCCTGCAGCAGGGAGGGCCAATTTTCCAAACGCAAGCACGCTGCGCCACACGTGCTTTTTAGGTCGGTGCATACGAGTCGGCCATTCGGGGCGTCGCCGCGGGACACCGCGACGCAGCCCGGGAGCGGCTGCAAGTGCTGCTGCGGGAGCCGCTGCTGCAGCAACAGCAGCGAGAGGACGCCGGCCAGGACACATTCGATGGGAATGGAAAAGGTGAGCTGCCGGCAGTTGATCAATTACATTTCCGAAGACCCCATGGAGCCATGCCATGCGCATTGGCGTCGACTGCAGCGGACAGTGGCGACCGCCAAACTCGTCAACGAACGCAGAACCCCGCTGCTTGCATGCATGATGCGTCGCCTGCGGCGCCGCCACGGCGCCACGCCCCACGCGCACCGCCCCCCAACCCGCCCACTCCCCTCAGGCCCCGCCGCGGCCGCCGCCGCCGCGGGCCGCCGGCGGCGCTTCGGGCGCCTGCGCTTCCTCGCCCTGCGCAACCTCGCGCCGCTGCTGGGTGACAGCTGGGAAGGGCTCGAGGCGGCCTGCGCGGCGGCGCAGGCGGACCCCAGCGACTGCGAGCTGTGGGGCAGCATCGCCGCCCTGGCCGCGCGCCTGGGGGACCTCGCGCTCTCGCGCCACGCGACCGAGCGCGCGCTCGCGCTGCGGCCGCGCGCGGCGCCGCCGGCAGAGCGGCTGGTGCTGCTGCTGGGGGCGGCGGGCGACTGGCGGGGCGCGGTGCGGGCGCTGCTGCTGCTGGGGCGGGCGGACGGCGCGCACCCCTGGTGGTGAGTTTTCGTGCGCCTTGGGTGCTAAAGTGGCTGCGGGGAGAACATTGAACCGTCTTGGCGCTGGGTTGGGAATGCCTGCACAGGCGCAAGCCTGGGTGACCCGCACAATGCCAAGGGTCCCACTGCGAACGACCAGCTGCGTGTAGTGTGCTGCTGCACGCATTCCCTGCGCAAGGGCCCAAGCTAACGGATTTGTTCATTGCAGGCTTCGGCACCAGCAGCGGCAGCAGCAGCAGCAGCAGCAGCAGCAGCAGCAGCAACAGCAACAGCAGCAGCGTGAGGGACAGGAACAGCGGGACCTGAGAAGCCACCCGTCCTCTGGCCCCAGCGCCAAGCCGCCCCACAGCAATCCCAGGCCTTGGCCGGGGCCCCTCAGCACTGCGGAGGCTCAAGCCTGGGTGGAGGCCTGCATAGGGCCCGACTGCACCGAGCAGTGCGAGCAGCTGCGGCGGCGCGCGGCGCGGCACGCACGGCGCGGCTTGGAAGGGCTAAGGCCAGACGGTGGTGTCGGTCCGGCGCAGGTGGTCGTGCTGCGGCCCACAAATCTGTCGCAGCTAGCAGACTGGACAGCCCAACAGCTGCGCCTGCGGGCTGGCGGCACAGCAGGCGCGCCGCTTCTTGTTGCGCCGGCAGCTGTGCCCGCGGCTGCCGTCGAGGGCGCACAGACGGCGGTGACTGAGCTACCGCCTCTGCCCCTGGGTGGGCTCCTGCGCGTCGAGCTGCCAGCGGCGCCCGCGCCGCCATCGCCTGAGGGCCGGCAGCAAGGACGGGCGGCCAACACGCAGCATCAGAAGCGGCCCCGGAAACAGCACGAGCCGCAGCTCGAGCCGCCGCCGCCGCAGCAGCAGCAGCGGCAGCAGCAGCAGGGGCAGGAGCGACCGCCGCACCAGCACGAGCACCAGGATACGCAGCAGCACCAACAGGACCAGCCGCAGCAACACCAGCAGCAGCAGCAGCAGCAGCAGCAGCAGCAGCAGCGGCAGCAGCAGCAGCAGCAGCGGCAGCAACAGGCACACGAAGACCAACGGCAGGAGGACATCGCGCAGCAAGTCCCCCAGGCACAGCCTGCCCAAGCGGAAATAGCCACGGCGGCGGCCGCATCACAAGCAGGGGCCGCAGCCGGTCCGCCCACAGGCAGCGATGCGCTGCAGGGTACCGCAGAGGCGCCCGCGTTCAGCGGCCTGACCACAGAGCGCGACGTTTGCGCAGGACCGATGGACCATGAAAGAGAAAACGAGGAGCCTCTGGAAGGACGCGGGGGCGGCGGCGGCAGCGGCAGGCTGGAGGGCGTATGGGACAAGGCAAACGGCGGGGCGGCGCCGGCCGTCACTAGATGTCAGGAGGCCTCTGGGAATGGCCTGCCTGCGCGGCCCTCCATACGGCTAAGGGGCGGCCTCCAAGAGCCGCCAACCAGCGCCGCGGCGCCGCCAGCCGTGCTGGCCGCTGCGGCGGCCGAGCAGCGGGAAGGGCGCGGCGCGGGCGGCGGCGGCGGCGGGGGCGGCGCTGTGACCGAGGCGGCTGCGGGTCCGGGGGCCGCTGCGGTGGGAGAGGGGGCCGCCGCGGAGGGCGTTCTCGAGAGTCTGGGCTCGTGGCTGCCCGGCTGCGCCGCCCCCGCGCGCCGCTGGCCCTCTGGGGCGGCGGCGCCGCAGCTTGCACCGCCCGCACGTCCCGCGCCCCGCCAACCCCGGGGGTCCGCGGTCGCGGCCGCGGCGGCCGCGGAGGCCGCTGCGGCGCGGGCTCTGCGCCGGCTGGATGAGAGGCTCGGGGGCGAGGCAGTCTCTTTGGAAGATCTGGGATACGAGCTGCTCCGGCTTCTGCTATCTATGGCTCAGCATTCTCCGCAACACTCCGAGCCACACCCAGCAGCCCACCACCCCCAAGCGACAGCCGGAAGCGCCGCCCCTGCCGCGTCCGCAGCGGCGCCGCGCGCGCTGGCGCTGGTGCTCGCAGCCGCGCTTCCCAAATGCGGGGCGGCGCGCGTGCAGAGCGTGGGGCGGCTCGCGCCCGGCGAGGCGATGAGGTTGGCTGAGCTGGCGTTGGAGACCGGGTTGCAGCGGCTGTCTGAGCGCCGGCGGCCGGCAGCTGCCGCAGCGGCAGCTGCAGGGGTTGGCGG